TGAGTGGTGTTCCTCAGGGGTCAGTACTGGGACCAGTGCTATTTAACATCTTTGTTGGTGACATGGACAGTGGGATTGAGCAGCAAGTTTGCAGATGACACCAAGTTGTGTGGTGTTGTGGACACGCTGGAGGGAAGGGATGCCATCCAGAGGGACCTTGACAGGCTGGAGAGGTGGGCCCATGTGAACCTCATGAAGTTCAACAAGGCCAAGTGCAAGGTCCTGCACGTGGGTCAGGGCAATCTCAAGCACAAGTCCAGGCTGGGTGGAGAATGGATTGAGAGCAGCCCTGAGGAAAAGGACGTGGCTGTGCTGGTGGATGAGAAGCTCAACATGAGCTGGCAATGTGCACTGGCAGCCCAGAAAGCCAACCATGTCCTGGGCTGCATCCAAAGAAGCGTGGCCAGCAGGTTGAGGGAGGTGATTCTGCCCCTCTACTCTGCTGTTGTGAGACCCCACCTGGAATACTGCGTCCATCTCTGGAGTCCCCAACAGAGGAAGGACATGGAGCTACTGGAGTGAGTCCAGAGGAGGGCCACAAAGATGATCCGGGGGCTGGAGCACCTCTGCTATGAAGACAGGCTGAGAGAGTTGGGGCTGTTCAGCCTGGAGAAGAGAAGGCTCCAGGGTGATATTATTGCAGCCTTCCAGTACTTAAAGGGGGCCTACAGGAAAGCTGGAGAGGCACTTTTTACAAGAGCATGTAGTGACGGCTGAAGGTGGATAACCATCACCTTCAGTACCTGTCTGTATCCCATAGTAGGTTCTCGTTCTGGCTTTTTCAATACATCTAAGGTATTTATTATGGCTAATCAGTGTTTCTCCTTTGCTCAGCATCATGCAGGTCCTGGACACCAATTTAACACAGCTAGAGCCAGCATATTGATCTGATCTTCCATGAGAGTCAGGGTGAACACCATGGCAAGGTCAACTCTAAGCTTGGACACTAATAGCCAAATTACTCAGGGAAGTAAGTGACCTATCCATGCCACCTGTACTGTGAGATCTGCTGGGATAAATAAGCCCTTGTAGTATTTCGGCCACTCTGTATTAACCACAAGGAAGCAAAGAAGAAGGCATTCCACAAACAGAACTATAACACAAGCAAAGTATCCATTAACAGGTTTATTTTTTTCTTTCCATTATCTCAGAATAACTCGGATAAATCTACATTTTCTGATGAAAGTTAAAAAAAAAAAAAAGAGCCAGCCAGCAAGGAAGCTGGGAACACCCAGCTGTTGTTAGCCTGTCCCTTGCTCTTTGATATTGCTTAAAAAAGAAATCCCTCTTACTGAGATTTCGGCCAAATCAATAGGTAAACATTAGTCATTAGATGTGCCATCATCTGGCAAAGCTTTTGGAATTGCTTTTCCCTCCTACAAGCCGACTTGTAGAAAGGTTCAAGCTACAAATCCGTTACAGCTCCAGTTCAGATGATGTTCAGCAGTGTTAAGGCTTTTTTTTTTTTTTGCGTATGTAGCTTTGGGAAGCAATTCTCAAGTTCTTCAAGAACAAAGCCACTGGTATATACTTACACTTATGAGCCCAATTATTAGCAAAAATTATCATCACCAAGCATCCAGCAAAAAGACTGACGTGGTTTTTGATCAGTGAGTTAAAAGCACTTAACAGAATCACCTTCTCCTGTGCCAGCCTCCCAGGAATATGTGACCTTCAGACTTTTACAATGGCTTTTCCAAGATTTTCTCCCTTTAACATTCCAATGAAAGCCATTGGCATGTTCTCAAATCCTTCAGTGACATGCTCATGGTATTTCAGTTTTCCCTGTCAAAAGGAAGAAAGGAAATTGCTGAGTTTTCATTTACCAGCTGCCTAGTTTTTACCATCTTTGGAACACTAAATTGCAACCAAATTTTCTCCAGCTTGTATGTTTCATCTGAAACGTGCAAGCTGGCATGTATTAGTGTAACTCTGCAACTCTTAGCCTTTAGTGTTCACAATCACAAGCTTTTCACAGCCATGAATCAAGTGTGAAACTGAGCCTCCATTTAGAAAAATAAAATCTAAGAAATGCTCTATTAAGTCCCTTCAAAGCCCAGCTCTCAATTCCATAAAAACTTCCATTCTTGCCAGTAATTTCAGTACAACACTACAATGGAAATCCTTGCTTGTACTACAGATGAAAGGAGACTTCTGAAAGAGAATTAGAGGAATTACTCTAAATTTGAAACTCTACATTGCCAGAGAAGTGTTTTGAATTACTCTGGAAGCATCCTATTTGAAAGCCTACATGTATTCTGGAATGTACCTAAGTCCACAAGCTAATATCGCAGGTCCCAGCCAAGCAGAAGGGATCAGGCATGTTCATTATGGTTTCAATGTCCCTAAAAGGCTCAAAGACTAAGTCAAATGAAAGAAAAGCATCGTGCTGGGACCTCACCTCAACAGCCATAACAAGAGACCTCTTGCAAAGAGAAAAGCTATGGTGTGAGTACACCTTAAAGAAAAATACTCCTTCCTTCCTTACCTCCACGACCCATTTTAGCAGTGCCTTCTGACCTTCCTCCCAGCGGTTATTCCAGCGGGTCACAATAAACCCTTCCATTAGAAGCTCTTTGAAGAGCATCGGAATCTGAACATAAGGCCCTGCAAGAGAAAGGAGCCACCAAACCACTTGTATTATCAGTTTCATTTAAAATGAGATCCAAAGCATAAAGAGAGATCTTAGCCAGTAAAGACCACCGAACCCCTTCGTTCCAGCCAGAAGCAACTGCTGTTTTTTTCCAAACAATTTCCAGGAAAAAGACCATGGATTCATGGACGGACAGCCAACCAGGGAAACAAAGGCCTGATGCAGAAAGCTGTGGGGATTAATGCCTAACGCTTCTGAAAACAGTTTCATTCAGAAGTAAAGTGGCCTCAGCTGCAGCTGAGGGGCTTCAGCTGGATCCTGGAAACACTGTTTTGACAGCTTATTTGATAGCCTGCCAAGCACTCATGCTCTTCCTAAATCTCAAAAAAGTTACAGACATTAAAAACCAGTTTGCTCAATCACAAAAATGTGTGATATCTCCCCACTCTCAAAAGCCTACCCCATTTTTGAAGTGATCTAGGATTCCAAAGCCACTCAGTTGTCAAAGAGAATTCAGACCTCCCATTTCTTCTTGAAGGCAAAATAGGAAAACTTAATGCTATGAAAGTGAATATTCATATCAATCAGCCACATTTCCCAGCAGTTTCACCAGTAGCTGAAATCTTGGGGGGTGGGGAGGGGGGGTGCGGGGAAACCAACAAACTCTAAGATGCCTCATCAAAAAACCTGAGGGAAATCCATTCTGTCATCTAAAAGTACGTACTGTGTAAATGGCATCATGCCACCACACCTGCCTTCTACTGATTTGTATCTGCTTAGAGCCCCAGGAAATCCTGTTTTAAGTAGTTCAGTCTCTCCTTCCTTTTCTAATCAGCTGACGTTCTCCATCCGAAATGAGTGTGCACAAAGGGGGAGGAGTGCATGCACATGTCCCAAAGCAGCAGTTAGTGACCCAAATGTACACTCATACATACACACGCTCAAATGGCATACAGAAGCAACCAATAAAATCTTAAGAGACTCCTATTACGTCTTTGTCTCTGCCATCACCAAACAGGAAATTAAATTAGGACACAAGAAAGCAGGACCACACCTTTCTGAGGCACAGTGTCATTGTACTGAGAGATGCCTCCACAGATTGCAATCCTTCCGTACTTCTTCATTTGGTTGATGGCAATACTGGTAAATTCTCCGCCCACCTACAAGAACCAGAGCATGTGCAGTATTAGGGACAATCCAGTGTTTGGCATCGACTGCCAAAACCTGCCAATCTTGCATTGTCGCATCAACAGGTTCAATCAAGGGGTGGAGAGGCGAGTTCCACTACTCCAAAGTCTCAGTGACTGCAGAAACCCTTATGCTTAGTCAACACCTATAAGGACTCAATGTCACTCTTCTAAAAATTAAGTTATGAACACAGGGAATTGGTTTTAATTCCAAATCTGCCTCACAAAGCTTGATTTGGAAGCATTGGGCAGGGCTTGCCCTTAGATCCCTTCTCCTAAGGGGCATGTCTAGGGGCATTAAGAAGCACCACCTCTCCTTTTCCCCCACACCAGTCTGCACTTTTACCTCTTCACATCATAGTGATGTCAAGTTTTTACTTAACGATTCTCTTCTCCCAGATAGGGATGTGCTCAGAAGCTTTTAATGGAGAAAAGCTGAGAGAAAACTTACTGCTAGGGAGGGCTCTGCACAGAAGTTGGAAGTGAAAGGAAAGGCAATGGACATGACCGTAAAACCTATTTAAGACCCTAGCAGCACAGGACATGAAATTTGGAAGGGTAAGGCAAAGCAACCTGGAGCTCCTGCCACAGGGGCAAGCGCTTGCCCTGGCGTCATGCATTCACACTGATTGCCAAGGCAAGGCGGGTGCACTGCTATCCACACAGAATGACAGCACCTCATCCCTGGATCGGTGGACATACTGCTGAGAGAAAGATGTGATAAGGAGTGATGATGGCTGGCCTTTAAACCAGGTAGATAGCCTGGTTTAGGCCAGTATCTCAGCTAATATCCTCGTGCCAGGTGTCATATTATCAGATATGCTGCATACGTTAGCTATACTAGGAAATGAAAAAAGCCAGGACTTGTTCTCTGGCTTGAAGACAAACTGACATGGTTTAACTGCATCCATACTGTTAAACTCTCTTAGCCTCCCAAACAGGTCACACTAAAACAGCCTATTAACTACAGTCCACAGCCCCCGTTAACCCAGTTGTACCTGGGAGAGGCCAAAAACCCTCTATGGGCCATTCCAGTCACTTTACAAGTGGGTCTTGCCACTGTTTTGTTTACAGGTACTGGTGTAGACACGTGGAGCATGTCATCTGGGGCCGTCCACACTCACTCCCCTTCCAGCAACAGCAGAGAGCTGCCTGTGGTCCAAGGTGGGGCCAGGAATGGGCCGGAGTGCTCTCTGTTCAGCATTAGTTAAATGTTCACTGCGACCTTCACTGCCCCCAAATGTGCCGTACTTTCTAGAGAGTGAAAGCTGCTCAGAGAGAGCACCATTCACAAACACTGCCAACAACCCAGCTTTGCCTTTCTGTCTGTTTTTTTCTCTGCTACTGCCCGAGCCAGCCACAGAGAAAAGTGTGGGAAGAGAACAAGAAAGCAGTAAGCTCTTACGGAGACCATTTCTCAGTTAGATGGAACTCAATATCGAGTTGCTGGTGTAGTTTTCAATTAGATGTATACAATATGGAGTTCTTGCTATAGTTTAAGGAAAATGACAGTCTGCTCAGGGCAAGGTCCTCTCTCTGAACTCACATTGTCAAAGAAACAGTCGTAGCCATCAGGAGAGGCTTTACGCAGTGCTTCATCCAAAGATTTAACAGTCTTGTAATTAAAGGCTTCATCAAAGCCTATTTTTTTCAGATAGGCAACCTTGTCATCTGAGCCAGCAGAGCCAACCACTTTGCAACCCTGCAAGGAAAGGAGAAAAACATTTCTAAACATCCTCTCACAACACAGGCTGATGCTCACAGTGCTGGGGGGACGCTCACTCTTAAAGTCAAGCTGTTGTCACTATATGAGTTCCTGAGCTCCAGGAAACATTCAGCTAGCTTTGCTACATCTTCAGACCATCTCAAGACCTTACTGTAGGCATGCCTTCAGGGATGCTTGCCCTCCTGATCAGTCACGGCCTTGTTGCCCTGTCTCCCAGGTGAGCCTTCTGAGGAGCAAGTAAGAGCAGTTCAAGCCACTCACCCCAATTTTAGCCAATTGCCCCACCACAGAGCCCACTGCACCAGCTGCAGCATTAACCAGCACTGTGTCTCCTATCTTCACCTTGCAGACCTCCAGCAGACCAAAATACGCAGTGAGGCTGTAAAGAAAAATAAAAAATACTCAGTGAGGAATAAAAGATGCCAGACACAGAGATATGACTTGACCACATTGAATGAAAATATCATTACAACCAGAACAAGATTCAGTTTTCCTCATTCTTTATGAAACACAAAAATTAACCCAAACTTCCTAATTTTGCTTTCCTACAGCCATCCCAGAAAAAAACAGATACACTACTAGGAAATAGGATGCTGTGGCAGAAGTCTACCTTGGGTGAAAACAGCTTTCCTTGTGCTCACTAGCTGAAAGAAGAAACACAAAGATAACTCTGTAAGGTGACAAATCAATTACACACTGGAAGACAGAGTAAATCCAAGCCAAACAGAGGTCAACAGCCAGCTGGTATCTACCAGGTTGAGGCAAAGATTGAACAATACTCATCACAAATCAAAGCTGGCAGAAAAAGAAAAAATGGTAGCATAACCTTGATGAACTGATGGTCACATTGCTCCTGAGTCCTACTGTGCAGAGCTATGGCTACTGGGAGAATAGCAATCTGTAGAAACCACTAAAGTTTAGCTCCACTGATCATATAAATACTGTATAACACCTGGGTCTGCAAGCTTCCTGAAGCAACGTGATCAACCAGCCCAGAGTCCCTACAAACGTTTCTTCTAACTTTTAAATTCAAGCTTAGAGCTTCCCTCTGGGTCCAAACTGAAAGGGTGAACTGAAATAATCTAGCAGCTGTCTCGAAAAACATACATCTTGCCTGATGTCAAAATGAAATTTGAGTTGTTCTGCATCACACACAATGTTACAATCATTTTGAAAGCCTTATGTGTCAACAGGACTGACCAAGTCCTGATCTCTCATATGAACTACAGAGAAAGTGAGAAGAAATGTGAGAAGATGCCTGAGATACTGCAGTAGTGAATATGGATTCCGAAGCACAGCAGCTCTGTCTGCTGCAATGCAATTTAAAAGACCTCGATATGACAGCTGTCTTTTGCCATTTGGGGGGAATTCTAGAAATATGGTGATAGCAGAAGAGCCCGATCAGCAAAAGCAGACTAGTCCAGATGCCAGTGAAGTTCCAGTCTTTCCACTGAAGTTAATTCAGATTGAACTGGATTCTTTTCAGACTCTCCTCGATCCTCTTCCTACCTTATTACAATTTCTCAAGGAGAGGCACTATCACCTCCAAGGTAAATCTCCTCTGATCTAAAGGATGGGCCAGACTTCAAGCCCTCTACAGGGTAAGGGCATCCGGAGGCACACACGTCTTTTACCAGAGTGAACAGACAACATACTGCTAGAACGAGACAAGGGAAAAAGATCACAGAGATAGGCAGACAAAAATCCAGGGGATAGCTGCCTCTGGATCTCAAAACTCACCCTGGCATGCCAACTGTCCCAAGAGCCAGAGATTTTGGGAGTGATTCTGGCCAACTGGAAGGAAGGAGTTGCAGGCCTTTCCCATCAGAGATGAAATGAGTTCTCCAGCCACTTCCAGCCACGACAAACGTCCCCACCGTGAAAGCAGGATTCTTGCTTTCTACAATCCTGTTTAAAAGAAAAAAAAAAAAAAGAATACTCTGTCAGAGACAAATCATTACTGGCTCTTCCCTCCTTTATTCCTGTTGCCCTGTGATGCAGGAGAGAAGAAATATGTAATGTCAGGACATTCAGTCCACACCTACTGATGCTGTAGCCTTCTGATGTCTTTCCTGAAATGTCTACAATCTCTCATCACCTGGTGGATATTGGGCAAGATGATTCTAGACTCAGCCCTGCCCACAACAAATCTCATGTTCCCACATGGATGCTGACTTTTCTTTTGACTAACACCAGTCTGGTATGAATTCAGACTAGGTTTCTATAAGTTAGAAGGCAGGAAAGAAGATGCCAGGCTTAAAGGCTGGAAAAGCAGGAAGTCACAGACTGGCTCTAACAAACAGTTCCCTTCTCAGACAACCTGCACCTCATTTAAAGGCTGAAGATCCAGAAGATGGAACCTCTTGGGGTAATAAAACCAGAGAGAAAGAAGTATCTACCAACAGGGAAAACTTCATACTTGAGGTGTCTCAATGTCAAATGAAAACCCAACTGTCTTATCCCAACAGGAAAACTACGTTGGGAAGGGGTAGTTACGCAGCTTTGAAATACTGGAAACAGTCGGCCTTCTGTTCAGCCGATTTGCTTGTTAATTTACCCCAGCCCTCTGTGTTCCTGCAGAGAAACACAAGAGCCAAAGGCCACAGATGTTCCTGGGCAGCAACTTGGAGGCAGCACAGCAGCAGCAAGCTGACAAAAAGAAACAGCTGTGTAGCTAAATTACCACAAGCTTGGGAAAGGATGGATTTAAGGTTAGATAACCCTTTGGCTACAACTAGAGCTGCATCTTAGGTGATGCTGAGGTATTCTGAGCTGGAGTAAATAGCATGCAGAGTTTCAGGCATGCAATCACTAGCACATGAGATTTTAAAATGTGAAGTTGACACTTATGGCAAGTACAATGGTCAGTCCTTTGTATCTCTGCTTGTAAAAATTTGCTTTGAAAACATTATCACCAGAAATAACAGATAGATTGTATCAGAGGCCTAAACGCTCTCCAAGAAGGCAGAAGGGATTCTTAGAGTAAAAACATGTTCCAACCAATTACAGATAAGAATACAGTTGCAGAAGTATGTAGACTCATGTCAAGAGTAGGTAATGCAGGCTGCAGATGTCTTGAATGTCAGTACATTCCTCTGAGATCTGCCACGTGTACGGATAACAAGAACTGAAGATCTTACCTGGCAACCTGTGTGCCTATCATTATGTCCCCTTCCTTCATGTCCTTTCGACTGTAAGGTCTGTAACACAGGCAAGAGATGGCTTACTGTCAGCAACTTTAATGATGTTCCAGATACACTACGAAGTAGTAGCTGCTGTCTGACCCAGAAAGAGAGCGTAAGCAGAGATGTTGAAGAGATCACCGCAAAGAGCTTGTCATCGTAATGACATAACTGGATTTTCTCTATAGCCAGCTACTTGAGTGTTCCATCTTGACCAAATACTGCGCTAGAGTGCTGGGGACATGACAGTATTAATTTCCTCAGCATGGTCCACCACTATGAAAGGCTGAGACTCCAAAGCACTATCTCTTACATTAGGGTCCACCAGACTTCTTCAAACTACTCAGTCTTACTGTGCTTGAACTACTACCTATTAACATGGGCATATCACCAACTTCCCACTTAGAATATGTATCCTTAGGTACAAAGTCACTAAGATAAGTGAAGAAACAGGGCTACAGTGTCATTTGAGCCCATTGCACTCTGGCGGAAGAGACATGACAAAGAACAACCACAGAGTCCAAGAAAAGTCTAGGGCTGCTGCATCGTTACCCTAATGTCTGGCTAAATCTAGTACAGCTCCGTGTTGGAAGTCTTGTAATTTACACACATTTTATAAAAAGCAGACAAAGGCATCTGGGACTCTGGCAACAGGAGATGCTCTCAGTGCACATTCTTTTGAGATTTAAGTGGGAGATCAAACATTGTATCTTAGCCAGCTATTTAAAAAGAAGAAAAAGATATACCTCATGTAAGGATCAACACTGAGAAACACTGATTCAAGCAGCAACTCTGCAACAAAAGACAAAGCAAATTCCTGGGCGTTAGCAGTGCAGTAAAGCATAGTTTCCACAAGTCAGTCTTTCAACAAAAGATACAGGAATTCCTGACAGCTCAAAAACCCCACATCCCATCATCCTTTAGGGAAAAACTACCAGAAACTACTACCACATTCATTAACTTTGTCTGGGTTATTGCTATGCTGTTACAAAAGACACTTTCTGTAGCACCTCTTTAGCAAACTAGCTTCTTTTCAACCCTGTTTTTCTCAATTTGCCTCCTTTCTTTATAAAAGGCTCAAGAGGCCAGAGCCCCTAAGCAAAACACTAACTTACTTTCGACCCATATCTAAAATGTCTTCCCATGACTCAACCAGCAGAGGATGGTAAGAAACCTTGGCACAATTCAAATACAACCTCTACTTAGCTGCCTTAGAAAGCATTAGGCTATCTTTTCTAGGTAGCCTAATCCACTTTACTGTTTCTAATGCCACTAGTTCTTGTGAAATATGCTGTTAAACAAATTTTAATTTAAATTCTTGTTCACACAGCAGTTTTAGCTGTTCATCTCCACCTAATAATACTTTACATTGCCTGTGCTGCAGTGGTCTAGCTAGTATGAGCTAGAAAAATATTCACAAATAAATATTTTCCCATCACTTGGAGTGAGCAGAAAGACTGGTCAAGGTCACGTAACCCAACAAGAAACGCCATTTTCTTTAAAAGTGTTACTCTAGTATGAAGTTGTGCCTCTTCTTGCTGTAAGGATTAACATGGGAAGGAAGAAATGATTCCATAATCTTAAATACTCACAGACACAAAATTTTTAGGCGTATCTGAATGCTACTACACATTATGAAAACACTTGAAAGTACATTTAAGAAGAAATCACCTTTCAAACCTCTAAGTTGTAAACATAACTAGGGCTGTGGATGTAGTTTTCCTGGACCTCATAACTGGAGTAAATTTCGTAAAGGACAAGAGGTGGGGTGAGGTTCAAGACAGCATGTGAAGCCAAAAATAAAGGTTCATTCTATTATCAACAGCTCTTGCATAAAATAAGTTATCGTATTCACTACCCTTTCCAAAAGAGAATAACACAGGAATAAAACCTGTGTATTTTTTTCTCTTATTCACTGTCTCTTGCTCTCACAACAGGTCAAATACAACAGATATGCACTTGCAAAAAAAATCAACAGATGTTGAATGCAGACAGAAGTACTGCCTAGTTGCTTAAAATGAAAGACCAGCCTGCACTGACTCTAGCCTCAGGGCCTCTCAGCTTCAGGCTCACTCCCACTCCAGTCACTCTACTCTCCCTCTGCACTATCCTCAATGCCTTCCTCATCATGCCTTTCATTAGCACAAAAAAATCCAATGAAAACCTGCTCCCACAGGCTACCATCTTCAGTTTTCTCCAAAGGATTTTGCAAAACAAAGCAGATTAAAACATTTCACCAGTAAAGCATATTTGGGTTTTACTGCAGTTATCTCATTTGCTCTGTTCCATGTTTCAGTTCTCTCTCTCTAAATTAAACTAACTCTGGCTGTTGGTTTTGAGGGCATAGGACTTCAGCAATCTCCTCCAGCGAGCTTTGTTTGCAAACATGTTCAACTGCCTTTGCCATCAGGTACCACATGTGATTAGGCAGTCTGAGACTATGGAAGGCATGCTACGCAGCAGGGCACGCTGGAGTTAGAAGAGCTCAGCCATTGTTTCCAAGGGTAGTATCAGAAGGCAGCATGTCTTAAAACCCACCAAACCCATCAGCAGTTGCCTGTCTCTGCTAAGGTGCATGGCTTGCCACAAGCAGTGCCAAACCATTTTCGAAAACCCAAGCCAGAGAAACATACAAAGAGCTCTACAGACACACAGAGCCATTTGTCAGCAACCAGCCAACCTCCAGAAAAAAAAAAAAAACAAACCACAGGTGACACTCCACTCACCTCCATCCTTTAGATTTGGCAGCTCTATCTTTTTCAACTCAAAGTCGCTGGTTTTGGGGAAACCCTCAAAATGCTTCTTCAGAACCCAAACCTTGGAAGTCACCATCCTGCACAACAAACAACATAGCCAAAGAGCGCCCGTCAAAGAGATGCCCAACGGTGCTGGTCTGCTCGTAGGGGCTGGTTTAGACTTTCTGAAGCAGAAAAGAATCTTGTAAACATGCCGTCACATGACAGCCTCTGCTTGCATCCTGTGGCTATATCGCCAGATGGAGAAAACATCTGAAAAGCCCTCTCAGTGCCTAAGCAACCCAGAGCTTCCTGTGGCCTGTCAGATCCCCCTGCCGGCTGGCAGCAAGCCCTGGTGTGGGAAGTCAGCCTCAGCAAGATATATGGCTCCCACTCTAAAGAAACTAAAGAGGGAGAATCTATTAGTTTGAGGGAAAAAAAATCCTGGAAGGAAAAAAAAAACCCACTGAAAGTCACTTTTTTGTTCCGAATCTAAACTTTTACAAGCTTGAACCAAAGTGCAAGTGAGAAATATGAAGGTAAGAAAAACCTCTTTCCGTGACACCCTGTATGTTGAAAGAAAACACTTCGCCAGTTGCCAGGCTTAGGGCTTGGAACTGGGAGCACATTGTCGCCAGCGTTTTCTGTACAGGACGGAAACAAACAAATGACTTGCATTCGTTTTACCCTCACAACCCCTTTTTCCTTCCTATAAGCAAGCGCACCAACAAGGGCAAAGAAAGACAAGTTTATACTTAGAGCAGGCAGGTGGAAAACTGTGTCTTCTGCTGACAAGGCTGGTCAATAACCTTCTGCGCCCGACTCAGTCAGCGGCTGGACTCCTTCAGTCACATGCACCTCCTAAAAGGTGAAGACATCTGCTTTTATCGACAGACAAAAGTACCACCCTCAGTCCACCTCCCCAGGAGCAAATGTAAACACTCAATGAGCCTCTGCACAAGGTACACCCAAGGTGATTCACCTTTGTCCTGTTAAGAGATCACGCTTACAGTCTGCTCCAATTCAGCACCCAGCCAGTTGCACAGGAATATTCTGCAATATGCCAAGCAAAATACACAAAACGCACGGACCTAGAAACCACGAAATACTGCAGTCTGGAGACCAAGACTATCCCCCAAAGCAGGAGTCGCTTCAAATCACATTTTACCAGCCCAGTCATAAACCTCTTAAGAGTTCTGCCACTGAGGAAAAAATATCTAATTAAAAATGAATATAAAATTCATTGTTCAATCCATCATCTAACACAGCGAACGATCTGTACATACACCATTACCACAAGGGAACACGATCATGACATTTACATAGTGAGATGCCTGCAGGTTCTCAAAGGCCATCTGTACCCACATGTGTGCTCTCACATCTTTACTGTTCCCAGATCACGCACCACAGGATCAGAGCTCTGTGGCCATGCCTCTGCATGCCGGGATCTCTGTGAATTGCAGAGCCACCTTAAGAAACAGTAACAGCCTTTGGCATTTTGCCTCAACTGTGTTGCAATGAGGCACATGACATAGGAGAAAACTTTGTCCAGGGACCATTTGTCTTCAGCTTTTATTTTTCTCTTGAAAATATTCAAGCAGCATATGAAGGGTGGAAAGTGTAAAGAGGCTAATATGTAGCAGCATGTTTAACTACAAAATACCTGAAGACAAAAGTACTAATTAGGAACAGACACCTGAGAAAATAAAAAAAACTTTTTAAAGACACATAAACGAGGACCAGGGAGAGCAGGGCAAGCCCTCCATTACTTACATAAAAGCAAAAATTACCAGACTGAGAAACTCATGAGCACTCAGCAACCTTCTGTGATGAACCAGGGATATTTCTAGTTCCTCAATGAGAAATAAACACAGCAGAGGTAAGGGTTCCTTCATGAGGAGGGTGTGCTGGTGTAGTCACCTGTATCAGGACACATAGGTCTTTCACAAAATGAAAGAAGTATCATCAAGCTCACTGTCAAAGCATCCTCCATTCTTTAAGTGAGCAGCCAAAACCAGCATTCCCAACATCCCACAGACAATCACTAGAAAAAATAACAATTGCCATCTGACCTGTACGTGATTTTTCTAAAAAATAAAAAAAGAAAAAAAAAAAGGAAGTGACACTCCCCTGGCATTTCCATCCACTGCTGCATTTGCTTTGGTATCAATGGCGCTTACATGCACTTTTCAGTAATAAAATATATTTTGACACTGCAGAAACAACAAAGCAAACTCAGCGAAGGGGCTGACAGGAGCAAAAAGTGAACTCAAAGTAACACAAAACTGATCCCACTCACTCGCTTTTACCCACAAGCACTAACAGGTGTTTGTCCCAGCAGTGTGTCCTGCATTCAGACACGGGCACCCAAGTGCTCCAGCCAGGAATGACCAGGAACAAGGGATGCTGGCTAGGTTGCAGCCATGCGCCCATGTACCATTTGTACCCCCAGGGAGCGGACAGTGACTCAGAAATGCTTTCTCTCCCATTCTGTCCCACCTCTGTGAGTGATCAATACTAACTCCTTTCCTGCTTTTTGTCTCTTTGGTCTGTGTGCCCCAAGGCTTCAGCCTTGTTCTCTAAATTCTCACCATCAGCTCTTAATAGCTTTATTCTTCACTTTAGTCTGAGTACAGAAACATGTCCTTTGATTTCACTATCTGGTCCTCTGAGAAGCTGCACAAAGACGAGCTGTAATCTTGATGATGTGCAAATCTAGGTGCCATCAGTATTGGCCACTTCTATCTCTCTTCTGCTGTTCCTTCCAGTGCTTCCACACTCAAACCTCCCATTCACACCCATCTGCACATTCCCATCACAAATTTTAACTTTTTGGGATACACAGATTTTTCAGCAGAGCAATGATCCTTCCTATAAACAATACTGAAACAATTTCACTGAACCATTTTTATGACACTTAGGCCTAACTTTGGGAATAGGACAAATTTTTTGGTGACTACTTCTCACCGTCTACTGAAATCGCATTATTATAGCCACTTCCAAGGTTAGGGATGTTTTCTGCAGCTTGTGAAACAAAAAGCCTCAAACCAAACAAACAGAAAACAAAACACAGACATATGCTTAACAAATGGATTCACAAACCAACTTCCAAGCTAACAAACAAAGATTATTTGTGTTTAGACAAAAAGTCATAAAAACTGATAAGGACTACATTGCTTAAGCATATTAAAGAACTCTAAAATATAAACAGCAGTGATGCAACATTTGCAGGGTCCAGTAAAAGCAT